GAGAGAGAGAGAGAGTGCGAATTTGACTTGTGTGTTTCTGTCTAGGTGCAAAGGCATTTGCAAATGAGGATAGAAGCACAGGGAAAATACTTGCAATCAATTTTGGAGAAGGCAAGGGAAACACTTGCAAGGCATCACATGGGTTCGGCCGGGATAGAAGAAACACGAAGAGAGTTGTCAGAATTATCGGCAAAAGTGTCGGACGGTTGCCGGAATCCAGCAACTTTCTCCCTCATTGGACACCAAGGGCTCACTGGATCTCAAGCCAAATGTGAAGTGTTAGAGAGGTTAAAAAAGAAGCCAATGGCCCCAGTTTTGGACTTAAACTCCAATCTTGAGCCCTCGAATGAAGATTTTGGTAGCGGGGGCTGCCGGAAAAAGGAGTTCGATCTCAATGGCTTCGAATTGGGACTGTAACATAAATATGAAGAAATTAGAAAGAAGCCGGCATTTTATAAATATTTACCCTTGAGGGCATGTTGGTCAAATGCATGCGGTCCTAAAACCTGACCATGGGAAAAAAGATATAGGATGCATGGAATCAATACTTCGGTCTTTGCACATGCCCACCTAGAGAGAGAGCAATAAAAGAAGTGCAACAAATATTAGAGAAAAGCTTGGTTTCTTTTTTTCGATGCCCTGTTCATACGGACAATATTATACAAATGCAGATACACTTGCATGCTTTCTAGACAAGGGATTTAGCTTGAAAGTTAAATATGCATTCAAATTTAAGAAGAGTATTTTGATTAGACTGCAATAGACCATAACCCCATAAGGGTCAAACCCAACCAAGACCACCTCATATACATATAGAGCATCTTAAAAAGTACAAAAATTATTTCGGGGTTATCTATCAAAACTAATTATCTTATCAAGACTATTTATCTTTTGTACATGAATGTCACAATCATTTTCACTCATTAAATGTCAAATTGGATGGTTTGGAATATGCCTCGAAGTTCAATAATTCTTTTTTAGAACTTTGTGTCTATTCAATGACACTCTTATATTCACTCATTTTGAAATTTAAAGGACAAAAAAAATTGTAACCCTTATATACAAAGGATAAATAACCTCCTTGTAGACAATCTCAATTATTTCATGCAATCCGACTGAAGCAAATGGACAGTGTGCTATTGCTTAGTATAGTCTTTATTCTTTCAAATTTAAAATAAGTATTATCTAAGGCTGCAATTTTAGTACAACTATATTTCATATCTCACTGGATAATGAAGTTAATCTATAAACGATCATCTCAACCTTGACAATCACTGATTAAACAAAAATGTATTTCAAGCCCTAAAAATACTCCTTGTAATGTATTTCTCAAACCGTCCACAAATCAGCACCATTGTTAAGTCCTCAAATTACCAAGTTAGGGCATCAAATGGATAGGCAAGCCATCACAAGGTTTTCATGCACCAAAAGTGCTCGGTAGGGGTTCTGATATGAGGCGCCACTAAATTTTATTCATAAAAACTGCGGCCCTAAGAAAATCCCATCCTAAAATTTGAAGTATTCCGAAGGTGCTCTTCCAAATGCAGTATCTCAAGTCCCAAACATGCCATCATCATCCAGAGTGTGCGTGCACAGAGAGAGAGAGAGAGAGTACATGTGTTTGTAGAGAACGACGTGTGCATATATATATATATATATATATATATATATATATATATATATATAGAGAAGAGAGAGAGAGAGAGAG